GTAATTCTTAACAAGTAACTAATAGGAGTATTAATATTAGATTTGCCTGAGATTTTCATTTGACTAAAGTGAATAACACATAACTAAATTTGCACAGCTTCAAGAACTAAACAATAGTTACCATTTCTGGAAATTTATTTAGTAGTCTAAGCTCCTGTTGTATTTATAAATGTTTTCCGAATGTTTTAAGTTGCCCTAGGCTTCTTTATTGTTAAATTCAATATTATTCTCATTTTATTTATAGAATATCTTAAAATTTTAGTATAGAAAAGTTATATTTTAAGCAGCTTCCAAGGTCATGAACTTGAAGTTAAAACGACATTAAGGCTGGAGAGATGGCTCAAAAGTTAAGAGCACTGGTTGCTCTTGCAGAGGTCCCAGGGTAGATTACTAGTACCGACATGACAATTAAAAATTGTCTGTAACTCCAGTTCCATGGGATCCAATGCTCTTTTCTGAACTCTATGGGCATTACGCAAATGGGTGCACTAACACACACGCAGGCATTACACTCATACACATAAAATAAAAATAATATTTTTAAAACTTTCCTGCATGGAAAAGTTCACCTAGTGGGAGAGGAGGCCACATCCCTTGTGTTCAGTAGGAGCCCCAGGAAGCCCATTAAATCAGCCCTGCGTTCTCACACCCAGGTGATCACTACTGTAGAAAGTCTTAGAAAGGAATACTAACATCATGTTGCTTTTTGTAGATTTAATCAAACTTCATGATACTCAAAACCAATAAAATATAATCATTATGGGGCTGGAGAGATGGCTCAACAGTTAAGAACACTGGTTGTTTCTGCAGAAGATCCAGGTTTAAAGCCCAGCACCCACATGGCAGCTAACATCTGTCTGTAACTCCAGTTCCAGGGGATCCGACAGCCTCTTCTGTCCTCCGTGGACATTGCACGACCTGGGTACATGTACCTACGTGCAGGCAATACATGCATACACATAAAATAAAAATAATAAATAAAAAAATAATCATTAAGGGTTTAAAATAAAAAGATTTTATATTCCCCATATAGTGCAGTGGGGAAGGAGAGATGGTGGCAGATTGCTTTATATGCTTTATATGAGAAACACTTCATATATACCATGCATTTCCCTAACTAGCATTTCCCTTCAGTTAGTACATCATTCATTTTTAATGTTTTTAAAATTATTTTTAAACTTTTTGAGAATGTATTTTATGTGTATGAGAGTATTGTCTGCAAGTGTGTAAGTGCACCCATGCTGTGCAATGCCCATAGAGGACAGAAGAGAGCACTGGATTCCTTGAAATGGGATTTACAGGTGGTTGTTAGCTGCCATGTGGGTGCTGGGATTCAACCCCAGTCTTCTGCAAGAACAGTCAGTGCTCTTAACTGCTAAGCCATCTCTCCAGCCCCAACATCATTTAATTCTTATGATGCTAGAGGCAGCTATTACCATTATCACTCTGCTACAGGTAAGAAAGTAAGAACCGCTTCTGCAGGGCAGAATGTAGAAAGGGCTCAGAATCCAAATACAGACAGAGCTCTTTCCTTTTTTTTCAGTAAGGGAGCTCTAACCCAGGGCTTTGTTCATTCTTAGGTATGTGCTCTGGCAATGAGCTATATCTACAACTCTCAGAGTCTGTTCTTAACCACTATGCAATCCTTTAAAACTCAGTACACACTGGGATGATACTCATAATAAAACATAAATATGTAGAAAAAGCTATAGCTTTCTCCATGGCCTCCAGGATAGACATACTGATCTCATTGATCTCATTTTTGTCCATCTATTAGACTAGATCTTGCCATAGATTCTTTATGCCACCTGTTTACCTGGACTGCCTCCAAGCCTTTGCACAGCTGGCTCCTTATCCATCAGCTCCCTACCAAAGTCACCTTGTCATGGGTTTTTTTGAATGCCTTTTGTAGAGCAGCTGTCTTCCAGTACTCCTGGTGACCTCTATCCCAATTCATGTTTTAACTGCACATCTCCTGACAGAATTAACATATTTATTTTCATATACTGACTGTGTTTCCTTCACTAGAACTGAGCTCCCTCAGCTTGGGACTTGTTTGCCTTTTCCTGCACTGTTTTTCCCTATGTATGGAACAGTGCCTGGCACATACTTGCTTTTCAGTGAATATTTACTGAATTCATGAATGAAGAAAAGTATCAACATGCAGCTAACTTTTCTGCTTTGGAAGAAAGACTTGCATATCTTAAAATTCTCAATCTTACAGAGATTAAAATTTGTTTTTTTCTTGAAGAGTTAAGCAGTCTTGTTTGTGATTTGGAAAAGTGATTACACAGTTTAATGGATTCATGTGAATCGAGTATGATATTTCATGGAATCATTCATAGCCATTCACTGCACAGCTATGGGGTGCCAATATGTTTCCTACTTTCTATGCTGGACAGTGAAACTCCAGAGATAGGGAAATTTTGACTCTATTTTTAAGAATTTCATAGTCAGGCTTAGGTGTATAGACCAATGTATGCTTGTTTAGCATACACAAAGCCCTGGGTTCAATCCTTCAGTCCTAATAATACACACACAGACACACACACACACAGACACACACAGACACACACACACACACACACTCACACACACACACACACACACACACAAGAGAGAGAGAGAGAGAGAGAGAGAGAGAGAGAGAGAGAGAGAGAGAGAATTTCCACACTAGAATCCCTTTAGTACTTGACATAATTATACACTCTCTATGATACTGGATGCTGAAAGAGAAGACCTCAGTGAGTAAAAGGCAATATAGGCTTTTATAGCCTCTATATCATTTTGCTTCATCATCACTAAATGCTGAACCCCATGGCTGTGGCACCTGGCACTCCCAGTCACCTCCCCTTGCTCATTCATGCCCTCACATGCCCCATGAGCTTAGCCTCCTTGTCTCTATCTTTCCTGTAATCTCACTTCATCTCCTTTCCAGTTCATCAGTCTCCAACGTACTTCTTCACTAGACCCGCTCTGAGTTCTGCATATTATCTCCCTGTTCCCTGCCAGCACTGTTTCCTTTTTATTAAAGTATTCTATTTATTATTTTTATTTTATGTGTATGAGTGTATAGCTGCATGCAGGTAGGTACACCCATGTTGTGCAATGCCCGTGGAGGTCAGAAGAGGGCCTTGGATCCCAGGGAACTGGAATTATGGATGGTTGTTAACCACCACGTGGGTGCTGGGACTCGAAGCTCCTCCAGGTCCTCTGCAAGGGCAGTCAGTGCTCTTAACCCCTGAGCCATCTCTCCAATCCCCCAGCATTTTCTCTGGTGTTATTGAAACCATTTACCTTTGCGCAGCCTCCCAGCCTCCTAAGACCATCCAGGTTTTATTTCTTTTCACACTTAAGCCTTATCCCCGATTGAGCAGTCACTTCGACCACCCCTATTTTCTGGTGATCTTCCTCACATTTTCCAGTTCTGGAAAAAAATAATCTTTTTGGTTACTCAGGATAGCAACATCCAAAAGATGCTTTCTTTTTTCAGTAGGCCTTTGAGCCTGCTTAGCAATTTTTGTGTGTTCCTAGTCATTATTTTCTGTGCTTCCTCCTGACAAGTGTCTGCCAAATGGTTATATCTTTTAAATCTACCCTATCACGTGGCTTAGACTGCACAGAGATCAGAGAGTCCTCATGCTAGAACAGCTGCAATTCTTCACATGCATCCTTCCTTCCTTCCTTCCTACTAGCTCGCTTCTTCAAAGCAATGTGCTTTTTAGATCTGCGAATATCAGTTCATATTTTCTGTTTGTTCCTTGCGTCCCCACTTTCCTCTTTCCCTTCTACACTCAGATTTCCAGCCCTGATTCTGTGATTCTGTTCTACCCGCCTAATATTTCATTCTTGGCCATGAGACTGGCCTGTATGAGAGTCAAGATTTCCTAGACTAGCAGTGCCATGCAGGGCACAGGTAACTCAGCCTCTGGCCTATTTGGCCTCAGGGCAAGAGACAGTCCTTCCCAAAGTGCAGCCCTCTCTATTTCCCGACTTCATCTAAACTTGTTCATTTCCTGCTTTGTCTATTTTCTCCTACTTTATATCCTCTCTCAAATACAATATACCCTTCACCCTACAGCTTCAGTGAAGAGACCCTCTCAGTTAAGAGACCCCTATTAGAAAGCATCTACTTGGAAAATCCAGTCTCTCAGCAACACCTGGTTCTTTTCCATCATTTCCAGAGCCTGCAGTTTCCTGTGCTCATACTTGTTCATGCTCCATTCTTCTCTTAACCCACCCTCATCTGTCTTTCACCTCCTTTTTTGATTAGTCTAATACGTCTAAGGTCAACATGTGCTG